CGTCGTCGTCGGCTCCCGTCCCCTGCGGGACCAAGCTGTGACGATGGCGACGACGTCCTACATGCGAATAAGAGAGAACTTACGCATGGGTTCCGCGAAAACTTCCCGAAATCGAACTGAGAATACTGCATATCAATTTTTTCCCCATGCAGGTAATGAAAAAACAGCGTTATTGAAGCCGAGTTATTCGCCTCACGCTAATGAAGTAACAGTAGGAGTATTAAAAGTCAGAATAATTATGAAATTAGGACTGACGTAGGCGAAGCTCGGAAATGGCGTGCAATTTAATGCTCTTCACCTCAATGTAAAACGGGAAACTTACCCAGTAGGTGTCAACCGTCAGTTCCACGTATCCATCAATTCAAGCCTGATTATTTTCACTTATTAATGAATTAACGATAAGGGTGGATTGAAGACAGCACGAAGGAACTAATGAGGCGGACCAAATTAAAAATATAAATTTGGAATCATGTCATACACATGAAGAAAGACCAAGAGAGGAGAAGTCGCAGTAATTTCTAGAACCCAGACAGCCTTCAAAAATAGGAAAACCCAGAACTCGAGGAAATATTTTTTTCTAATCTCACGTTGCAGACCTGTCGGTGGAGTGTGCAAAATTCCAGTCTCAGAATTAAAATTCAGTTTTGTTTGCGATTGTTTGCTCTTATGTTTTCCGTTGAAATCCGATCCAATAATGAGCACAAGATTCATCTCTCTCCTTGACTGCAATAATTTTTTGAATTTGAGTTTAGGAATTCAATAGGAATGATATTAAAATTATGCCTAACATTAAAAATTATCAATGGAGAAATACATTTTATTCGATACGTTTTTGAGTATTCAACATCAGTGGTTGATATTCATAAGCATTGGCATAGATTCGAATAAAGTAGTGCCAAGTTTGCTGTATCTTGCAAAACTTAGCATTTGAAGCTATACTGGCTATATTTCAGGTTGCAGATGAGCGTATGAATGCTTTTTTTTTTTACTTTTAAATGATCGTTTGAGCAGTTTTTGATCTGAAGTCCATATTTTCTTCCGAGAAGGCGCTTCATGAAGTAATGGTAATGCATTACTGTTTTTTTTTATTCGTGGTAGGAAAGCTAGATATTTTTGAATGTCGAAGATTTCCGGAAGTTGGGAAGCATTCGCGGACCCGTTCGCGCGTCGAATTATTTTTTCCGGATGTTCTTGTTTGCGTTTAGTCAATTTTGAGAATGTGATGGCATTTTACGGTGGATTCTTCCGCGAGGAGTCAGTCATTCGTCGCGTTTTCCACGAGCAAAGAACCCGCGGGAGGCCGGATTCCGTCCGACGGCGTAGCATCGGAATGATGCTCGACCGGCGGAATCGCTCCTGATTCACTTATCCCCGGGCCCAAAGCCAGGGTTGCNTCCGCGAGGAGTCAGTCATTCGTCGCGTTTTCCACGAGCAAAGAACCCGCGGGAGGCCGGATTCCGTCCGACGGCGTAGCATCGGAATGATGCTCGACCGGCGGAATCGCTCCTGATTCACTTATCCCCGGGCCCAAAGCCAGGGTTGCGTGTTCCTTCGCACTCCTCCTGATCTAGCCTGCCGCACCCCACCGCGGGGGTCGCATTATTCCGATATTCCTCTCTGGAACCAGAACGCGATGTGCTTGCTGGAAGCGAAGCGAAGCCCGGGGTTCGGATGCATCCTGCATGCCAAGGGGGTGTGGGGTCAACTCGGCGCCAACAACAGCAGGGACAAAGACAACTCATTGCCAAAGGGGATCTACAGTACTTCAATTCAGCCCCGGATTACCCCGTTCTCCAGTAGATTAGATGCGTGCCAAACTTTTTTATTGAAACGATTAAAGAGTCGAAGAATTTTATCGTGCGAGACACGCTCGTATTGTTTTCACGAACAGAAATGTATCTGCGTATTTGTGTGTCATGTTCAAGTACCGAGGTTGGATGCGTGAATATAATCTTTTCTGGCTTTCGATCGAGGTGCGAAATTTCAAGAACTCTGAAAATCCGGAACCCAATGAAAGCTTGGGGATTTGATTTTTGGTTTAGTGTTTTTTATACATTTTTTAGATTTGAAATACAGAGTCAAAATTGATTGCATGTGTATCAGACGCGCCTAAAAATGTTCTTTGATTCAAAAAAAAAAAAACGCGTCAGACCATTGAACATATGCGTGAAACTTAATGTACCTTAGATTATTTTTCAGACATTCAGGAAACTTTCTGATAAGCAATTGATGAACATGATGCTTCACAACAGCGAAATGTTTACCCCTTTTTTATTTACGATTCTCCCATTTTTTGTCGTGGGGTTCCTATTTTTGTGAAAATTTTCCGGCTTATATTGTCCTTTAAAAAACTGGCTTATTTATTTGCGTTTTGATTCTGCAGGGATCATATGTATGACTTTATATTGAGGACTATTCGATAAATTAAAAACGAGAGTTTTGAAATGTATCTGAAAAATAAATCACGAAAATGAGATTTGCTAAGGACGCTTCAAATGCTCGGTTGTCTCAGCTGGCGCTGAATTGGCCAGCCCTGAGTTGCCCTGTCGCCGAATGCAATGCTCGTTTCAACATTAAACGCACGCCCATTTCCGACCCCTCGTATATATATTCGATGAATGTCCCCCGTGCAGGCCGTTGTCTGAAAGTGTCGGGACGGCGAATTGCTACCTTGCCTTTGGTTTTTCGCAAGTCCCCCTTTTCCTCGTGTGAACTTTTCAGTACAGTACTTCCGTCGGAAAGCGAAGTGGCATGGATGAATGAAAGTCCCCCTAGAGTGATCGACCTTGGACGATGTGTTCTGTTCATCAGGTTTTGCCTAGCTCTCTCTCTGCTCATTTAATCTTGTTCCTTGCTAACCTATAATGGAATACGTCGTCTTCTTGGAGAAAGTCGTATTTCTTGCATTGGTAGGTTCAGCACCTCATGCGACAGTGTTACACATTTACAATTATACGGGGATTTCCTATTTCAACGCAAAACTGTGTGTAATGATCCTAAAATGTAGACCTAAGATGAACTGACCCATCTTGGCGGGGAAAACCGTAAAATCGACAAATAATTGATAAATATTTCCTTCGAAATATTTTAAAATCATTATTGTGCTATCTGAACCCAGTTAGGAGATACCCATGTTTGTAAATTCGGGTTCACAGCTTTGATTGATCATGCATATACAAAATTATATTTCAGTTGAGTTACTGTATTTTTAAAATGCCCGCGTGATCTTACACCTTTTCGTGACCATTAAAAATTTTTTACCCTCACTTATCTGTGGATATATGCGAATTAACTCGATTCTTTTGTATTACACGAATTATGGATTGACTGTTCATCCTTTCCAAAAAAATGCGGTTTCAACATAATTTTTGGAAAGCTTTTTGGTGCCGAAAGAAATGAAGTGCTAAAAATTAAGGTCTATAATTAAAATATGATTGTATGCTGGTTTCTCGGTAACCGTGTGGTTGAACCGCTTCCGCCGCTTGAAATTTCCGAAATTCGGTTTTGATTTCTGACTGACACAGGAGTATTTCAAAATGAACCAAGAATTTCGCAAAAAATTTCTCTAAGCAAAGTCGTGGGATTTTTTGCTTATTTCTCCTCAGATCCAAATGCGACTCCAAGGAAGAGAAAACGGCCCGAGAAGAAGCCCAAGCAGAACGACATAAAAACCTTGCTGCAGAATTTAAGCGGAGGAGCTTTGAAGATAGACACGACACCTATGTCATTTGATACTAAACATTCTTCTGGCATCGCAAATGTATGCGTAACCGTTACGCCAGCCACGCATCAACAGCAGCACCTGCACTGCGTGGACGCCTCTCCATCCATCTCAGCGTGTTCTCCGTTGTCCAGTGCGAGTTCGGCTGCCCAGGTACTCACCAAAACCGCATTTGTTCTGAACATTAGCATGAAAAACATCTTCTTTTTTTTTTAGGTTGTGCCGACGGCTTCGGATGCATCTTCAGGTACTGAAGAGCCATTGTTGTGCGTGACGAAGTCCGAATGTGAGGAGAGGAGCGACGGTGCTGTGAGTCCCGGAGCTGGTTCAAACGTCAGCAGCACTGAAGCGTCGAGCCCCGGACATAAGCGGAACAAAAAGGCTCGAACAACGTTTTCCGGTCGTCAGATCTTCGAGCTCGAGCGTCATTTCGAGACCAAGAAGTATTTGTCTTCTTCCGAAAGGGCGGAAATCGCCAAGGTGCTCAATGTTACCGAGACCCAGGTTAGTATCTTCAAGCCCAGAAAATTCCCACGACAATTCTGAAGAAAATTAGAGGCCTTCCTGCACGCGATATTAATGCGTATTAATAAAATAATCTGGCATTAGCTTCCATCTTTACGCAACAAAACTGAGCTCAAATATTAGCTGGAACCCCTCACATCATGTCTATAGGCACTTTAATTTTCATTTCTGGTGCACAGAAAAAAAATTCTGGGAAATAATTTGCATGCATCAATTTTGTGATAACGTTATCCGTTCGAAATCTCATTAAAAACGTGATAAAAAATACGTTTGATGGAGTGATAATAATGTGCGAGCAGAACAAATGCGATGTATTTTATTATGCATTCGAATGTGTTTTTGTAACTTGAACCGTAACAATATTTATTAAACAATTTCCTGTCGTCAAGCGCATTTTCTACTCAAGTGAAGTACAAACGCGGATTCACAATCTGATTCTGCAGCTTCTTCGATAGAAAAATATTGTGATCAATTTCAAATGAAGGTCTTCGATGGTCCATTTGAAGCGATTCAAATCAATCATAATTTATTTATTTTCTGCTTCTGAACATTTCGTTTCAAGACGGATGAGCGAAGTCGAATAATGTTTGCGTGTACGCGTCGAAGGTTTCGATCTTGCTTTGAATTAAGGATGTAAGATAATTTTAGGCAGATCATGATGACTCATTTGGATTTTCTTCATCATCAAATGTTCTCCAGAACGGAAGATCGAGAGAGAATATGTGTCAAGTATCTGATTCCTGATCGAAAAGAATAATGCACTTTAATTAAACTGAAGTTCGGGCGTTTATGCAGCACCTGATTGCTGTACTCCTGCCTCCTGAACAGTAATCAAATAAAATAATTTGAATTTATATTTTACGTAAAGTTTTTTTCTAAAAAATTAAATCAAAGTGGAATGAAGTTATGAAGGCTCAACTTGAAATAGTTTCCAATTAAGACGAAGTCGAGTCGACACCACGGTGTCGGCATTTCTGGGGAATGATAAATCAATTTTGATTCAAGTGAGCATTCTTGATGTATCGGTTTGACTTATTGTATTTATCTTTCTGTGAGGTGGATCGGGTTGCTATACGAAACAGGGTAGTCCGAGGATCTCGTGGTTAAACAAATCACTGAACTTCTTTCACATTACCGGGAAATCTTTTTTCTTTAATTCAAATTCGAATGAAAAAGTATGTTCTTCATTTCAAAATTCACTCGCGTATTGATATTGATGTTTTCTAGGTAAAGAACTGGTTCCCCAATTAGACGAAAGACACGTGATCTAATACTGTAACTAGAAAAAAAAATTGTCCGCTTGTTTTCTTTTCATGTTTGAGGAATAATTGACTCGAACCTCTAATTGAGGATTTCATTCTTTAATTCAGTTTGAAAATGCACCGCTCATGAAGTGAAAATACCCAACCTGAAATGGCTTTCACTAATATTTTTTTTTTGGCCGACTGTCCGGTTCCAAATCAGATGAAGTAATGTTCACGCGCAAAAGAGTGAACAAAAACGCTTAGCTTCATGTTTTTTCTTCAGTAGAAATGAAATTTACACACAGCATTTATTAATTTATTCAGCAGTTCGTGAAATTCTAAATTCAGTTCTAAATTCTAAATTTTGAATCGGTATTTATCAGATGAATGCCTGGTTTAAAATTAGAACAACGATGTGGAAGACTCGCGAGTAAAAAGAATCGTCTGACAATTTCCATTTCGCTGAGTATAATAATAAAATTAAAATAAATCTCAAATTCGGGATTTAATTGGTCAATACTATGTTTTATTGCTAACGAAGTTATGAATGCTCAACTTGAAATAGTTTCCAATTTAGACGAAGTCGAGTCAACACCAGGGAGTGAGAAAAAAAAATCGCGAAGCCATTTTTTAAAATTGAATAATAAAGATACTGCAGTACTTTCCAACTTGGATTCAGGAGTTGATGACGCATTATTTTGTCTTGCTCATGAATAATTTCATTGAATTGCTATTTTTCCAGGTGAAGATCTGGTTCCAAAACAGACGAACGAAGTGGAAGAAGCACGAGTGCCACAATTCTTCCGTGCTGAGCCCGACCAGCTCCAAGGGCTGCAACGACGACGACGATGTCGACACTTCCCGCGACTTCTCGCCAGCACCCACTTCAGGACTGAGCCCCGACCCGGAACCCAAGATCCCGCGCCTGGCGACAGACATCTCGACCCTGCTGGATCCCATTTCCAGCCTCGACCGGTGTGATATCAAGTCGGTGCCGGACCTGAAACCCGCCTATTTGGGCGATGCTGTCGTGCCGCAAGTTGACGGCAAGAAGAAGAAACCCCGGGCCCCGAGACCCAAGGCACCCAAGACCGAGAAATTGACAAAAAAACAAGCCCTCGCCGGGCTCACTAACGTCGCTGCGAAACCTGTTGTCACCGGTGTTTCCTAAGATCGCTGTTGCATCGCTACAATGAAGCTTTTTTTTGGAAAGGGCACTTTGAAAATTTACATTTATTGATGAAGATCATTCATGTTTGTCTATTTCGATGCTCTCTGAAAAAAAAATCCAGACGGAAAGCGACCAATAACCGACTGCTGTGAAGCAAAGGCTCTCAATATCTTCTTCACGGGGACTCCGCGTGGAATAATATATTCATGCCAAAATTATAGAATCAACGTGTTAATCTTGAATGCCTTTGTTTCATTCAAATTCAAAATGTTCTGGGTAATATTCAGTGTGTCTCAGCATCCAAATAGATTCGAAATTTGTGTATCATTCGCGCTGCGTGGGTAAATGCTGAATTCCATTCACAAAAATAAATAAAAAGAAGCAGCTTTTACTTTGTCTACTGAAAATCTTGTGAGCAACTTTTTCAGCTTTCAAAATGAAATAAAAATGTTTGGAATGTACGCGTTGTTGCTTCAATTGCCATTGAAATTCTGGGTGTCAATCGGTAAAATATCTGGAAAATTTGGAAGTGCCCTTCCCAAAAATGCCAAGTAGGATATTGAGCAGTGAAGATCTCTTGATTTGATATTTCTGATCGGTCGCTGTTCGATGCTCCCTCTGAATGCGCTGATAAATGTCGCTAAATCTTTTTTTTTTGCGTGGTTCAGCTAAGCTCTTCGTTTATAAACGATCTCGATGGAAAACAATGGCGTGTTTGGAGAGCAAATGGATAATGAATGAGATTACTGGCATCTTTGTGATTCATAGGGCGGCGATGAGTGGGTGTCGACTGATGGTGTCTCGGATGTCGAGAAAAAAATTGTTCTCTTTTGTTTTCGTGGCGAAGATCTTCGCAAAACAAGAAAAAAATTTAGCAAAGAACGGGTTCTTTGAAGTTCTCTGCAGTCGTGATGTCTCGGTCGTGTCAGCGCACTTGCAGCAGCAAAGAAATCTTCGGAAGAATGGCGAAGGAAACCCGGAAATTTTATATATCAGGTTGTCAAGGTGCGGTTCGTTATGTGTGATACAGACTCGAAACCGATCGAGGCCCAATAAGACCTCGCCAAGTATTCTCGAAACTCATAATTTTTTCGTTTTTCATGGAAAGCAGAACTTTACGTGTCTCGCTGTTTGCGCATGGCTAGTCGTTCTTGTTATCTTTATTTTCGCTGCTGGCGAAATTTTGAAGAAAAGAGGGGAGTAATTCGATTGGCTGAGAATCGGTGTTGAATGTGGCAAAAAAGGGCGGCCCCGTGTAGACACTTGCTAGACATACCATGGATCGGCTGGAGTTTTTCACTTTTTTGGTGTGCCATTATTTGATCGGTGTCGCGTGGATGCCTAGGAAGTATTTTGACCTCTCGACGATCGGGTATTATCTTAGATGGAAAACGAATTCGAGGTTATTTTGGCGCCCCGAGTCTTTACAGCTGTACGTTATTTCCCAGAATTCTGGGGTTTTTTTGCAGCGGGGTTTCTTCTCCTTTCGTTTTTTTTTTTTCGATGTGACATTTGTGGCGTTTTCCGCGTCTGGATCCGAAATAAAGGAGAATGGAACCGGGATTTTGAATATTTTATTTCTTCATTTCACACAATACTCCAACAGAAACGTATATGTATTTACTTGAGTACCCGCACTCCTTTTTTTCGACGGGTATGACATTTGGGGACATATTTGAAGCTTTGTTACTCCTCTTCCTTGATTCCAACAGGGAACTTTCTACCAATTTCTACCACAAGTGTAAAAAGGCAAATAAATAAATTTAACAGTCAACTTGACAATTCTTCAACATTTGAATTCTGATGCATTTAATTTTCAGAATATTTCAATTTTCCGTCTCAAAAAATTGGGGCGAGTGTCTTGAATCGGGATACATTTTTATTCAAATGTTATGCTGAAAAAATGAGGTCGTATGCCTTATTCCAAAGACAGGTGGCACATTACTGTACCTGAGCAAATGCGTCATTTTAAAAGAAATTCCTACTTGTCAGCCTCATCGCAGTAACTTCAAACATTATTATCTTGTGCATATTGATTTTGCATTTGAAGTATATATAGACTATTTATTTACCATTTTGTCAAAAAATGTGATAAAAAAGTAATTTGTGAAGGAGACATCTGTGGTGCAAAGGGTCCTTCGCGAGAAAAGTGAACGCGACTTATTGTATGTTGCTCGAAAAAATTCAGAATTTTTAAAAGTCGCTCAAGGATTCGGTTTTACGTCTTTCAGCTGTTGCTGATGAGTGACTCGACAATTTTAAATTAAAAACATCAAATCGTTTCTTTAGGCCTTTAGGGATTTTTCTGATTAAGGTCCTGAAAAATAGAGTGTGAGTAACAATTATCTGTTGGTCAAGGATAAAAATACTTGGAATCACTGAGTTAGCCTGAGCGATTCATTTTTTTCCCGACGCGATTTATGCTTTTTTACATACTGTATAATCAAATTTCTGAGATTAGCTGGAAATATGTCAAATGTGTCTAATCAAAATCTTTGGGAAACTCACAACCCAAAAACTTGCCCATGTAAGTTGTGTGCTGATGCTATATTTTTAATTACAGTAAATCGGGAACAACTTATTCTCAAATTCGATAGGTAATTCTGAAAAGCCCTAAAATAAAAATGTCAGCCCTGTATAATGTGTCTTGAAAAGATTTAATGAACTTTCGAAGAAAATTTACTCCAATATAGGAGTCGTATCAGACATCGGAAGAATTTGTTTGCTCGAAACTTAATGAGTAAATTCTTCTCACGTAATAATTCGAAACGGTGAAAATTTCGATCGGGTTCGTTACCGTTAACGGATGTCACAAGTATTGGCTAATTTACATCATACGAACCGAACGCGTCAACGTTTCGAAGATCAACTGCAGAGAATGCGAGAACTATAGATTTCACGTAGCTGACATTTTGCATGAAGATCAAGAAAATCACACCCAGCATTTTTCATCATTTTTTATGCTCAATAGAACGCCTCGAGGCTATTGGCAGCTTAGTACTAGTTGTTGCACTTTCGGATCAGATCTTACCACGTATATGAGTACAGCTCGTCACGTTCTTGTCTGAGGAGAAAATACAATCGGCGAAAGATCGTGTTCGATATGCGCATGAAAGTGCGAATTTCCACGACTCGGTCCAATCGACAGAATCACTTACTATTGATGATCAGAAAAAAAAAAACGAATGCTGTACAAATGAAGAGAAAGGCTGCCTCTGCATGAAGTTTGATTTCAGGGTAGATTGGAAAGTGGTGAAAATATCTGTCTCTTGTGTCTCGGGTATTTTACGAATTTAACTTCTGCAAGAAATACTAAATGATTATCTGCAGCAGCAAGCGATATCTTTGAGATTGAAGATCAATCATCGCAACGTTGAGTGCAGTTCAGACGCAAACTTTCAGAAATTAAAGAATACAGTATTCAGTAATGAAAAAAATATAGATTCAATCCTTAAACTTTTTTTTCTTTCGATTTTTCAAAGGTAAGACCGATTTTTGTTGTTGTTGTTTGAAAACTGACGGAATGATTGACTCTTAGCACTGTATCATCCCATGAGATCTTCATCTTCAAAATAAATTAACGAGATGATATCAATGTTAGGCATAATAGATAAAGAAAAGCGTTAAATTGATCTATATGCAAGGTTTAAGACGCATGTTTAAAGCAAAAGGTTTGAAATTGTTCCAGGATGAATGTACGTGCTCATGTGTTTTAAAAATCGGTTCAAATGTTAGACTTAGCCAAGGGATAACGATTTCAAAAAATTTAAAAATATAAAAAATGACAGTTGTTCTTCCCTGATATGCACCTCAATAGTCATACACTTCACAGTTGCTCTTGGAGATCAATTTCATCCTTTGGACTCGACGAACCTTTCATGATTTCATTTTATACTACAGTAATCTGCGTTGAAATAATTGTGATTTTTGTGGTTTCACTCAATTTTGAATCTCTTTTTTGAAATTCTTTTGAAGCCTGATTATATAAGCGGCGCAGCAACAGGCATTAATAGGCGACAGCTCAAGTTTCTTGCTGTGACGCACTTCCGTTCAGCAATACAGCACTCCGTTTGACTCCACCCGATGACTCGTCTCGAACTTCGATTGACACATCAATTTTTCAAGTTCAAGTAACGAGAACTGAATACACACTCAACAAACCCAATGTTTTGTTTTGAATAGTTCCCTCTTTGAAGGCTAGTTACGTAAAGCCCGATTAGAATTCCTTTCAAAAGCATAAACAATAATGACGTGTCTTGTCGACGACGAACTTTTTGAATATCAGACTACAAAGGTTGAGCTTCGATAGAGAACAGAAATGTTCGTTCTAGATAAGCTGTTTTGATGGAGGTTTCGGTGGATTTCTGTAAGATTTGAGAGTCTCGATTGCGTAAGGCAAAAACAATTTATTCATTAAAGAGGCCCTGCTGTATCGTCCAATTAACATCAGAGCTCACCCAGCAACCATATTGCTGTTGTGTAATAAAGCACATTCAATTTGATAAGAAGAGCGAATGAGAGGTTCTTCGAACTTCTGCAAACATATCGCAGAATATTGTCTGGTGGGACAATGCTTCGTCAGCAAATAATCTGAAGTACTTTGAACCCAAATGAATCTCACGTTCAACTATATGAATATTTCTAGTTCGGGGAAAAACATTCAGATGAAAGCCTTCATTGCAAAAAGCACCGAGGGAAGCATATGCAATAAGATAAATGCCCAAAACATAAGATGCTTGAACTTACATTGAACATTGCGTGATTAATGTGAATAAAATGAAGTAAATTCATCTTTGAATGCAGAGGTTTAATATGGTGATTTGCGAATCTTTTAATCAGGAATAATCCACGTTACAATAGTTAATTCATTATTTATTTTGAAAATGGAGCCTCGTCTTACAGGAAACTTATTTTTCCTGAAGCTTAACTGCAGTTTGAGGTGACTTTTTCTTTTTCATTTAAACATGCATCCCTTCATATTTATTACCGTTTTAATAATGCGATGCATTAAATCTCACTCGATCATCAGCTGTTTTACAGAATGTAATCATTGTCTGACTTAGCTCGTGTTTAAAGCATGCATAAATTTTTTAAAAGGTCTCCCTGACTAACTTGCAATGTTCGCAATGAATATTCCAAGAATTTAATGCAGAACTCGAAATCTGGAAAATCAATTTACTAAACTGGGTAATTTTTTGCTATGGTACTATTTGTCCAGAAACTTTTCTCCCATCACCCGACCTTCGCATATAGAATATATACTGTACACTTACTGTCTTCGCTGTGATTATGATATACCCGGTTTAAACTAGTAAGCATCTTTCGAAAGATACAATTGTGCATCCTCACTTCGTTGTTCAGCATGTCTGGTGTGGTTTCCGCTTTTCCATGACCTTCAAGTTCGAGTGGGCCCACGGAATGTTTCGGGTCGTTCCCATGGAAATGGTGCACATGCACGCTGTAATGAAGGGAAACTTCCTACTTTCAAAGTTAAGACTGGTTTTTTC